ATAACAATTTCCCTTTGTTCAGCATGAGGTGTTTGAAGTGCAGTACACTGAATATGTTCAAATTGAGTTGATTCTGGGATAAGTTAAAGCTGCTTAGTCTGAGGTTTTAGAACATATTGCAGAGAGTTATAATGGTCAACAACACTTTTATCAATATTCTGAGATAATTCAGCCAACTCCTGTAAAGTGTCCTCCTGAGCCCTTGCCCCTGGAAGTTCATAATCCTAGGCTGCAATTCTATCAACAGTTGGCATCTCATTTCCTTGTGCCTCTAATCCCTCAGAATTAGGTCTGGGTAGCTTTCTTCTGAGATTGGGATGAAGTCTAAAGCACTTCTCATCAGTATGGCCAAACATTTTGCAGTGATGACAATAATAAGGACTTTGTTCAGCTATGATTTTCCGCCAATAGCCACTGTGCTCAGTACCTAACCAAATTTCCTCCACAGCTGGTAAGGTAATGTTTCTTTCAATCAGGATTCTAGCTACTGAGGGTCTGGATAAATTGAAGGTGGGGGCATCCAACTTCAAAGGTCTTCCCAAGGCTTTGCCAATGTTGAAAAGAACTTTATGGTTGAAGAAGTGGAGCTGAAGTCCAGGTAACTTAAACCAAATGGGGACAATTGACAATTCTTTACTAGGGTCAAAATCAGGTGTCCACTTTAATAGTTTCATTGAGATACCTTCAATCAATATAGATTGTTTAGAGAATATTCTAGCATAGTCTTCTTCCCTTGTGAGGTTGATGAGAATGTTTAGAGAATAATAATAAGAACTTTATGGTTGTTCAGCTATGATAATAAAGATTGTTTAGAGAATATTCTGGCCAAACATTTTGCAGTGATGATAATAATAAGGACTTTGTTCAGCTATGATTTTCCGCCAATAGCCACTGTGCTCAGTACCTAACCAAATTTCCTCCACAGCTGGTAAGGTAATGTTTCTTTCAATCAGGATTCTAGCTACTGAGGGTCTGGATAAATTGAAGGTGGGGGCATCCAACTTCAAAGGTCTTCCCAAGGCTTTGCCAATGTTGAAAAGAACTTTATGGTTGAAGAAGTGGAGTT